ACAGGCTGGATAATATCATGTCAGGTAATGGGAACAAGCCCATTATCTGTCTCAGTGCTGGTGAAATGATATTGGAAAAGGGTAGGAGAGAAGAGCTGCTAGATAAGTACAGGTCAGCTATAGATTTCATTAAGTCTAAGGGAGGGATCCCAATCATATGTAGCATCTTGCCTAGAAGGGGAGTAGGAAATGAATGGTTGTCTAGGGCAATTGGTGTAAATTGCTGGCTAGACAGATACTGCAAGGAACTTGCAATCCCATTCATTGACAACTGGAACAACTTTTATGGCAAACATGATATGTATGCAAGGGATGGGGTACATCTCTCTGGGGCTGGGGTGGTAGCACTTGCAGACTCGATTGAGAAGGCCATTGGTGAAATGCCTATGATTTTAAACTGATGGAAGATAGAGGTATGGGTGTGTGTGGGAAACAAGCAGGTTGCAACACTTGGGTTGGAAACAGTAAATGTATAAAAGGCATTCAGCATGAAGTTATAAATAAAGACAATAGATCAGGTCAGCAAACAAAGGGGACAGCAGAGGGCAACAAGGGACTAGCTCCCTTAAGGTTTTACTATACTAATAGCAGGAGTGTAAGAAATAAGATAGATGAGCTAAGATTAATTGCAAGTGCAGGAAACATAGATATTATTGCTATAACAGAGACCTGGCTCAATCTGAAAGATAGAGAGATGCCCTCTGAATGTCACATACAAGGCTATAAATTATCCACACTGACAGGGTCAACGGGAAAAAGGTGGTGGAGTAGCGATGTATGTCAGAGACAATTTAAATTGTTGTGTTAGACAAGATATTAAATTAGAAGCGTCAGCCACTGAATCTGTTTGGTTACAGCTTCTCGAGGACCGAGAAAAACTAATTTTGGGTGTGATTTACAGGGCCCCAAATCTTGATAGGGAGCGCAGTAAACTTCTATGGGACGAAATTCGTAAGGCATCTACATACGAAAATGTGGTGCTAATGGGAGATTTCAACTATAGACAGATTGACTGGAGCAATTTGACAGGAAATTTAGTCAGGTGACTTTCTTGATACGATCCAGGATTGTTTTTTTAAAACAGTTTGTGACAGAGCCAACTAGGGGAAATAACCTCCTTGACTTGGTTCTTGCCAGTAGGGAAACACTAATTAATAATCTTGAGGTTAATGATGAGCTTGGGGAAAGTGATCACAAATCACTCAGTTTTAATATATCATGGAATTCCCCTAATAATGGCAATCAAGTCCCCCGTCCCCCGACTTTCACTTGGCTGATTTCATAGGACTGAAAAATTACTTAGGTGGGCTGAACTGGAATGACCTGACTAAGGGTCAGGTAGGTGGAGATGGTTGCCGATATGATGCTTTCCAGGGCATAGTTCTAGCTGCTCAGTCAAATTATGTTCCAAATAGGGAAATCAGATCAAACAAAAATGATCCTAAATGGATGAACAATAGATTAAAATATCTGATTGGTCAAAAGAGAGGCATATATAGGCAAATCAAAAGAGGAGAGGGGCAATTGAGAAATCGATATATTCAGTTAAAGAGAGAAATAAAAAAGGGAATTAGAAAAGCAAAAAGAGATTATGAGGTTAAAGTTGCAAGAGAATCGAAGACTAACCCAAAAGGATTCTTTCAGGTATACAGAAATAAGATCAGGGACAAGATAGGCCCACTCGAAAGTTCCTCGGGTCAGCTCACTGACAGTGATAAGGAAATGTGTAGAATTTTTAACACATACACGTACTTCCTCTCAGTTTTTACACAGGAGGATACCAGCGATATTCCAGTAATGATAAATTATGTAGAACAGGACGATAATAAACTGTGCACTATTAGGGTCACAAGTGACATGGTCCTTAGGCAAATAGATAAATTAAAACCTAACAAATCCCCAGGCCCTGATGAACTGTATGCAAGGGTTCTAAAGGAATGTAAAGAGGAGCTTAGCACACCTTTGGCTAATCTTTTCAACATATCACTACAAACTGGCATGGTGCCAGATAAGTGGAAAATGGCAAATGTGATACCTATTTTCAAAACAGGTGACAGGTCCTTAGCTTCGAACTATAGACCAATAAGCCTAACCTCCATAGTGGGAAAATTTATGGAATCAATAATTGCCGAGGCAGTTCGTAGCCACCTTGAAAAGCATAAATTAATCAACGAATCTCAGCATGGTTTTTACAAAGGGGCGTTCCTGCCTTACGAATTTATTAACTTTTTTCACTAAGGTATTTGAGGAGGTAGATCATGGTAATGAATATGATATTGTGTATATGGACTTCAGTAAGGCTTTTGACAGGTCCCACATCAGAGACTATTGAGGAAAATTAAAGCACATGGAATAGGAGGAGAAATTTTTTCCTGGATAGAGGCATGGTTGACAAATAGGCAGCAGAGAGTTTGCATAAATGGGGAGAAATCAGAGTGGGGAAGTGTCACGAGCGGTGTTCCACAGGGGTCAGTGTTGGGCCCCCTGCTGTTCACAATCTACATAAACGACATAGATGAGGGCATAAAGAGCGACATCGGCAAGTTTGCCGATGACACCAAAATAGGCCGTCAAATTCATTCTGACGAGGACATTCGAGCACTCCAGGAAGATTTGAATAGACTGATGCAGTGGTCGGAGAAGTGGCAGATGCAGTTTAATACAGACAAATGCAAAGTTCTAAATGTTGGACAGGACAATAACCATGCCACATATAAACTAAATAATGTAGATCTTAATATTATGGATTGCGAAAAAGATTTAGGAGTTCTGGTTAGCAGTAATCTGAAACCAAGACAACAGTGCATAAGTGTTCGCAATAAAGCTAATAGAATCCTTGGCTTCATATCAAGAAGCATAAATAATAGGAGTCCTCAGGTTGTTCTTCAACTCTATACATCCTTGGTTAGGCCTCATTTAGATTATGCTGCACAGTTTTGGTCACCGTATTACAGAATGGATATAAATTCTCTGGAAAATGTACAAAGGAGGATGACAAAGTGGATCCCATGTATCAGAAACCTTCCCTATGAGGATAGACTAAGGGCCCTGAAACTGCACTCTCTAGAAAGACGTAGAATTAGGGGGGATATGATTGAGGTGTATAAATGGAAGACAGGAATAAATAAAGGGGATGTAAATAGTGTGCTGAAAATATCTAGCCTAGACAGGACTCGCAGCAATGGTTTTAAGTTGGAAAAATTCAGATTCAGGAAGGATATAGGAAAGTACTGGTTTGGTAATAGAGTTGTGGATGAGTGGAACAAACTCCCAAGTACCGTTATAGAGGCCAGAACGTTGTGTAGCTTTAAAAATAGGTTGGATAAATACATGAGTAGATGTGGGTGGGTGTGAGTTAGACCTGATAGCTTGTGCTACCAGGTCGGTTGCCGTGTTCCTCCCTTAAGTCAATGTGACCTGACCTGACTAGGTTGGGTGCATTGGCTTAAGCCGGTAGGAGACTTGGACCTGCCTCGCATGGGCCAGTAGGCCTTCTGCAGTGTTCCTTCGTTCTTATGTTCTTCTTATGAACACTGCAGCAGGCCTACTGGCCCATGCAAGGCAGGTCCATGTCACCCCCTCCTGGCTTAGACCAATGACCCACCTAGTCAGGTCACATCCATTGAAGGAAGGAGCATGACATCAGACCTAGAAGCACAAGCTAGTCAGGTCCAGCTCACACCCACCCACACTCACTTGTGTATTTATGTAACCTATTTTTACTTTCCTCTTAAAATGGGAATGTTAATGCGACATGCCATCAGTGAATCCCTGGTGTTTGTTACGCTATTTGCTCTAGCTGGCGCTCAGCTGAACTGGTGCTCCCACAAGGTACTAAGTGCTCCCAGAGTTTTTTTAATACTGTGCACACTGAGTGCACAGACCCATTTTTTCATGTCTAGGCGACTCAAGCCTATCTTGCCAAATTTGAAGGAATGAAAAATAAAAAGTTGATCTACATTCGGAGTGCTATGCGAGCAAATGTACATCTGCGTTTGGACAGTTTAAGGGTTAATATACAGTACATATAGACTGCAGTAATTGTACGAAGTTTTGCCATTGATGTTCCAGAAGTGAAAACAATCTGAAAATTCGTCACATTATAGCAATGAAAAAAATGTTGAATAGAATTTTTTTTTTTCAATGCACTGGTCATCCCCCACCAAGGCAGGGTGACCAAAAAAGAAGAACAAGATTTTTTTTCTTTTTTACACGTAGTAATTTATACAGTAGGGGTTACTAGCCCCTTGCTTCTTTGAATTGAATTTATAAATGCAGTATGTTTATTTTATTTGTTAATTATGTTTGAATCACTAAAATTTATTTCAAAACTTTAATTTTGCTGGAAATGGGAAGTACAATGCCTGCACTCTAAAGGAGGGGTTCGGGATATTGGCAGTTTGGAGGGATATGTTGTGTATCTTTATACGTATATGCTTCTAAGCTGTTGTGTTCTGAGCACCTCTGCAAAAACAGTGATTATGTGTGAGTGAGGTGAAAGAGTTGAATGATGAAAGTATTTTCTTTTTGGGGATTTTCTTTCTTTTTGGGTCACCCTGCCTCGGTGGGAGACGGCCGACTTGTTAAAAAAAAAAATTATCGCAGATTGTGTATATACATGTATATATATATATATATATATATATATATATATATATATATATATATATTTTAACACAGCTGTTTCCCACCGAGGTAGGGTGACCCAAAAAGAAAGAAAAACCCAAAAATAAAGAGAAAACTTTCATCATCATTGAACACTTTCACCATCACTCATACATAATCACTGTCTTTGCACAGGCACTCAGATACAGCAGTTTAGATGTCCCTCCAGACTGCCAATATCCCAAACCCCTCCTTTAAAGTGTAGGCATTGTATATACATAAATAAAATCTGTTCATAAGTTTACCATTCAGCAGAAATTAGGTATGTAAATTTATTTTGGAATATGCAAATTACTGATAATTATTCTTATTTAATGCAGATTATTTAATTTCAGCCTGAAAGATTTGTTAATCTTGGCATTGAACCGCCCAAAGGTGTTCTCCTGTTTGGGCCTCCAGGAACAGGCAAGACACTGTGTGCTCGAGCAGTTGCTAACCGTACAGATGCCTGCTTCATCAGAGTTATTGGTTCAGAGTTAGTGCAAAAGTATGTGGGAGAGGTAAGCATGTGTTTGTCTTTTAATGTGCTATGTTCTATAAATTTTTTTAACACAGTTGAAGTTACAGGCTAAGAGTTGTTATCGTACTCTAGTTCATTTCAAATCCCAGCCCTAAGTATCAGGGGGCCAAGACTGTTCAACTGTCTCTCAGCATACATAAGGGGGAGTACCAATAGACCCCTGGCTGTCTTCAAGAAGGTGCTGGACAGGCACCTAAAGTCAGTACCTGACTTGCTGGGCTGTGGCTCATACGACAGTTTGTGTGGCAAAGCAGTAACAGCCTGGTTGATCAGGCTCTGATCCACAATAGGGTCCGGTCATGGACTGGGCCCTAAGGGCATTGACCCCTGAAACCCCCTCCAGGTATACTCTTGGTAGTAAAGATAGCAGTGAAATAAAAATTTTCACATTCACTTCTTTAAATTGCATTTTAGTATGTTTCATATTCAGATAATTAGACAGTATTTCTTTCTATGTATATCTGTTGTCTCTTACCTTTTGGCAATTTTCATTTTTTCCATATAATTGTTTATTGCTTTGTTGTCAGATAGTTGATATTATAATAGAACCTCACATCTTGTGGCTTGCATTCCTGAAAGCCTGTGCCTTTTATGAAATAGTGATATGTAGTCTGAAGAACCTACTGAAAAATTAGGTTTGTAGTTCATGACAACTTGACAGCCAAATAAGCTGTTTTAAGTTTTGTAATTTGTCAAAAATAATAGTTTTTGACATCTTTGTTGTTGCCGTTACTAGTTGGATGTAGTGAGGTTTATTTTATTTTTTTTTTCAACACTTCGGCCGTCTCCCACCAAGGGTGACCCAAGAAGAAAGAAAAATCCCAAAAGAAAGAAAAAACTTTCATCATCATTCAACACTTTCACCATCACTCATACATAATCACTGTCTTTGCAGAGGTGCGCAGATATGACAGCTTAGACGTCCCTCCAAACTGCCAATATCTCAAACCCCTCCTTTAATGTGCAGGCATTGTACTTTCCATTTCCAGGACTTAAGTCTGGCTATCTAGTTTCCCTGAATCCCTTCACAAAATATTACCCTGCTCACTCTCCAACAGCTCGTCAGGTCCCAAAAACCATTCGTCTCCATTCACTCCTATCTAACATGCTCACACATGCTTGGTGGAAGTCCAAACCCCTCGCCAACTAAACCTCCTTTCCTCACTTCCTCCAACCTTTTCGGGGATGATCCCTTCCCCACCTTCCTTTCCCCTACAGATTTATACGCTCTCCAAGTCATTCTACTTTGTTCCATTCTCTCAAAATGACCAAACCACCTCAACAGCCCTCCTCAGCCCTCTTGACTAATATTTTTAGTAACTCCACACCTTCTCCTAATTTCCACACTATTAATTTTCTGTATAATATTTACACCACACATTGCTCTTAGACACACCATCTCCACTGCCTCCAGCCTCCTCCTTGCTGCAGCATTCACAACCCATGCTTCACACCCATATAAGAGTGTTGGTACCACTATAATCTTGTGCATTCCCTTCTTTGCCTCCATACATAGCGTTTTGTCTCCAGATACCTCAACGCACCACTCATCTTTTTTCCTTCATCACTTCTATGGTTAACCTCATTCTTCATAAACTCATCTGGTGACAAGTCAACTCCCAAATATCTGAACACATTCACTTCTTCCACACTCTCTCCCTCCATTGTGATATCCAGTTTTTCTTTATCTAAATTGTTTGATACCCTCATCACTTTACTCTTATTTATGTTCACTTTCAATTTTCTACCCAAAAGCACAGTATTATCAGCAAAAAGTAAATGTGTCAACTCCCATTTTGTATTTGATTCCCCATAATTTAATCCCACCTTTCTCCCCAACACCCTAGCATTTACTTGTTTTACAACCCCATCTGTTAATATGTTAAACAACCATGGTAACATTACACATCCCTGTCTAAGACCTACCTTTACTGGGAAGTAATCTCCCTCTCTCCTACACACCCTATTATTTTATTTATATATTATTATTATTATTCTTTCTTTCTTTCAACACACCGGCCGTATCCCACCGAGGCGGGGTGGCCCAAAAGGAAAAACGAAAGTTTCTCCTTTTACATTTAGTAATATATACAGGAGAAGAGGTTACTAGCCCCTTGCTCCCGGCATTTTAGTCGCCTCTTACAACACGCATGGCTTACGGAGGAAGAATTCTGTTCCACTTCCCCATGGAGATAAGAGGAAATAAACAAGAATAAGAACTAGAAAGAAAATAGAAGAAAACCCAGAGGGGTGTGTATATATGTGCTTGTACATGTATGTGTAGTGTGACCTAAGTGTAAGTAGAAGTAGCAAGACGTACCTGAAATCTTGCATGTTCATGAGACAGAAAAAAGGACACCAGCAATCCTACCATCATGTAAAACAATTACAGGCTTTCGTTTTACACTCACTTGGCAGGACGGTAGTACCTCCCTGGGCGGTTGCTGTCTACCAACTTACTATAGGTTTAATTCCTTGGATGAAGAGCCTTTCACTGACATCAAGGCACTTGAAGGGTGATCCTTGGTAGTGAACCTGCAGAATGAAATTTATTAATTTTGCTGTTTTCCTTATTCAAGGGTGCTCGCATGGTACGTGAACTCTTCGAGATGGCGCGCACCAAAAAAGCTTGTTTGATATTCTTCGATGAAATTGATGCCATTGGAGGTGCTCGATTTGATGATGGTGCTGGAGGCGACAATGAAGTGCAGAGAACTATGTTGGAGCTCATCAACCAGCTTGATGGATTTGATGCTCGTGGTAATATCAAGGTAAGTTGAACATGGTTTTGAAAAGAGACAAGTTGAAGAATTAGACACTTGTATAACCTTTGGGAACTTTTATTGAGGAAACATTTTGCTAGCCAGTGGCTTCTTCAGTCCAATTCAGTCAGTCAATCTTGAGAAATGTACAGCATATGTGCTGTACATTTCTCAGAATTGATGGGCTGAAAACATTGACTCCAGGCTGAAAGACTGATTATCTCAAACTCCTCCTCATCTTCCACTGTTATTATCTGTACTGGACTGAAGAAGCCATTGGCTGGTGAAATGTTTCCTCAATAAGGATTCTCAAAGGTTGCTTAAGTGTCTCATTCTTCATTAGCAAGGTAAGTTAAATGGACTCTTTCAAGGTGTAGGTATTGTTGAACTTTATCATTAGCTGCTCTCTAATTTTGAAAAGTAACCAATTAAGATCATGTAAAGTAAAAGGACACAAGTGCAACTAATGTGACATTTATTGTGGCAACGTTTCGCTCTCCAGGAGCTTTATCAAGCCATTACAAACAATACATGGACACAGAGGGTATATAAAGGCTCAGAGTGAGGTGAATACTAGTGAGGTACCATTTCGATGTTCACTAGTGGTAGTAGTAGTAGTAGTAGTAGTGGTAGTGACAAAAGTAATACAATATGGTAGAGCAATTAATTCGTACATGAGTAAAAGGATATAAAAGCTATTACTTGGGTAACATAAAAATAGGTTGGACAAATATAAACTGGAATGAGGCAGCTTGTTTCAGTGTTCACTCTCTGTGCTTTGTGTAGTATAACAGGAGAGACTATGTGATGGCAGGGTTTACTGTTTTCAGGAGGATTCTTGCTAAGACTTCGGAGATGGTGAAGCTGCCGTTGTTTTGTTTAATTGTATTCGAAACAGCGATCAGTGCTGATTCAAGGCACTTGCGTGTGCGGAAATTAGTTTCTTTTATCACTAATTGGGCGTCTCTGAATTTCATAAGATGATTGGTGGAATTTCGGTGTTGTACACAGGCGTTGTTTAAGTTGTCGTTCCTACATGCGTATATGTGTTCATTGAGGCGGGTGTCGAGGTTTCTTGCTGTTTCACCTACGTAGAAACAGCCTGTGGAGGCTGTGACAAGATCTACGTAGGTGAAACAGCAAGAAACCTCGACACCCGCCTCAATGAACACATATACGCATGTAGGAACGACAACTTAAACAACGCCTGTGTACAACACCGAAATTCCACCAATCATCTTATGAAATTCAGAGACGCCCAATTAGTGATAAAAGAAACTAATTTCCGCACACGCAAGTGCCTTGAATCAGCACTGATCGCTGTTTCGAATACAATTAAACAAAACAACGGCAGCTTCACCATCTCCGAAGTCTTAGCAAGAATCCTCCTGAAAACAGTAAACCCTGCCATCACATAGTCTCTCCTGTTATACTACACAAAGCACAGAGAGTGAACACTGAAACAAGCTGCCTCATTCCAGTTTATATTTGTCCAACCTATTTTTATGTTACCCAAGTAATAGCTTTTATATCCTTTTACTCATGTACGAATTAATTGCTCTACCATATTGTATTACTTTTGTCACTACCACTACTACTACTACTACTACTACCACTAGTGAACATCGAAATGGTACCTCACTAGTATTCACCTCACTCTGAGCCTTTATATACCCTCTGTGTCCATGTATTGTTTGTAATGGCTTGATAAAGCTCCTGGAGAGCGAAACGTTGCCACAATAAATGTCACATTAGTTGCACTTGTGTCCTTTTACTTTACATAGTCGGTAATTCTACCAACTTTATTACAATTAAGATCATGTTGGCTGTCAGTTTTGTCAGTTAACAGACATAAAAGAATTTGGAAATTGTTAGCTGATTGCCTAGGAGTGTGCCAAAATATGGGTATTGACTAATTTTGATGGCATCAGCATTAGCCTAATACAGTGGAACCCTGAATATCGGTCACTGCATTTATTGGCTGATTCATATTTAGGATGGTTTTTGGAGGGAAATTTTGCTCTGTATTTCGGCCGGTGCCTCGTAAATCGTCCGCATTATATGCATCAGCCCACCTCCCACCGGGACGCCGCGCATAGGTGAGTCAGTCTCCCTGCGTCTCTTGGTGAATGAGCATATACTCCGTGCATTCATTCAAACATTTCCGTAAAATTCATTGGTTTTTGTGCTTGTTTGTTAAGTGCAACTGTGAAATAAGCCACCATGGGCCCAAAGAAAGTTCAGAGTGCCAGCCCTTTGGTAAAGAGAGTGAGAAACACTATGGAATTTAAGAAAGAAGCTATTAAAAAATATGAGTGGTGTGCGGGTGCTGGAACTTGCCAGGATGTATAGGAAATCCAAATCAACAATCACTTCCATCCTGGCAAAGAAAGAACAAATCAAGGAAGCTGATGTGGCAAAAGGGGTAAACATGTTAACGAAAAAGAGATCACAAACAATGGAAGATGTGGAGAAGTTGTTGTTGTTGTTGTTGTGGATCAGCGAGAAACAGTTAGCGGGAGATAGTATTTCAGAGGTGCTCATTTGTGAAAGGCAAGGCAGTTGCATGCGGATCTCATAAAGAAAATGCCTGGAACTAGTGCTGATGTTGGTGAATTTAAGGCCAGCAGAGGCTGGTTTGACAGATTAAAGAAACGTAGTGGCATACACAGTGTTGTAAGGCATGGTGAGGCTGCAAGTTCAGGCAAACATACAGCTGAAAAATTTGTGCAGGTATTCAAGGGGTATGTAGAGACTGAAGAATTCCAACCCCAACAAGTGTTCAGTTGTGACAAAACAGGCCTCTTTTGGAAGAAAATGCCAAAGAGGACCTACATCAAGCAGGAGGAAAAGGGGCTGCCAGGACACAAGTCTATGAAGGATGGGCTAACTCTTGTTCTGTGCTAATGCTAGTGGGGACTTCAAAGTGAGGCCTTCACTGGTGTATCGCTCTGAAAATCCCAGAGTGTTTAAGAAAAACAATGCCGTCAAGAGTAGATTGTTTGATGTGGAGGGCTAACAATAAGGCATGGGTCACAAAGCATATTTTAATTGACTGGGTCCATGAAGTGCTTGGCATGAGTGTGAAAAAATACCTCCAGGAAAATAAATTGCCACTCAAGTGCCTCCTGGTAATGGGCAGTGCTCCTGCTCATCCTCCAAACTTGGTAGACCAATTGTCTAGGGATTTTAGTTTTATAACAGTAAAGTTCTTGCCTCCTAACACCACTCCTCTGATCCAGCCCATGGACCAGCAAGTCATTTCTAACTTCAAAAAACTCTACACAAAAGCAGTGTTTAAAAGGCACTTTGAAGTGACCTCGGACACTGAATTGACCCTAAGAGAGTTCTGGAGGAATCACTTCAGTATCTACAACTGCATAAGCCTTATAGGTAAGGCTTGGCAGGGAGTGACTTCCAGGACTTGGAACTCTTCTTGGAGAAAATTGTGGCCAGAATGTTTTCTCGAGAAAGATTTTGAAGGATTTGAGGCTGACCTTGACGACCCTACGCCTGTTGTGAAATCTATTGTGTCTTTGGGAAAGTCCGTGGGCTTGGATGTGAGCAGCCAGGATGTGGAAGAGTTGGTGGAGGACCACAGGGAAGAGCTAACCACTGAAGAGCTGCAGCACCTTCAACTGGAACAGCAACAGACCACAACTGAGGAAATTGCTTCAGAGGAGGAGGAGGAAGAGAGAAGGAAGGAGGTGCCTTCTTCAGAGATTAAGGAGATCTGTGCAATGTGGAGTAGAGTGTAAGCTTTTGCTGAGAAATATCACCCTGACCAAGCTGAAATAAGCCATATCTACAACATGTTCAGTGAAAAAAACCATGTCCCACTTCAGGCAAATCTTAGAGGCGCCAGAAGCAATGCTCTCTGGACAGATATTTTGTGCGACAGGGGTTCAGTGACTCTCAAGCAGGTCTTAGTGCCATTAAAAAACAAAGAAGGGAAGTAACCCCAGAGAGGGACTTGTTACCTGAAGTCATTATGGAGGGGGATTTCCCTTTCAAACAATAACCCCAACTCCCTCTCCCCTCCTCGCCTTCTTCCATATGCCAACAAGTCTTCAATAAAGGTATATAATGTTTATATTTATTTATCATTGTTTTGTCTATGTAAAACTATAGTTAAACTTTACAAATTTTTTTTTTTTTTTATGTTGTTGGGTGTCTGGAACAAATTAATTTTTTTTTTTTTAACAAGTTCGCCATCTCCCTCCGAGGCAGGGTGACCCAAAAAGAAAGAAAATCCTCAAAAAGAAAATACTTTAATCATCATTCAACACTTTCACCTCACTCATACATAATCACTGTTTTTGCAGAGGTGCCCAGAACACAACAGTTTAGACGCATGTATGTAAAAAGATGATAAATTAGACACATGTGCAACTCTTGGGTATCTTTATTAAGGAAACGTTTCGCCACACAGTGGCTTCATCAGTCCATACAAAGGAGAATCTTGAAGAAAAGGAGGAGAATGAGGTAATCAGTCCCTCAACCTTGAGTCGATGTGTTCAGTCCATCAAAATTGATGGACTGAACAGATCGACTCAAGGTTGAGGGACTGATTACCTCATTCTCCTCCTTTTCTTCAAGATTCTCCTTTGTATGGACTGATGAAGCCACTGTGTGGCGAAACGTTTCCTCAATAAAGATACCTAAGAGTTGCACATGTGTCTAATTTATCAACATGTCGGTTCTCTGAACCATTCATCTACATGTAAAAAGATACACAACATGTCCCTCCAAACTGCCATTATCCCAAACCCCTCCTTTAAGTCCAGCTATATAAAAATAACTGGTTTCCCTGAAACCCTTCACTAAATATTACCCTGCTCATACTCCAACAGCTCGTCAGGTCCCAAATACCATTTGTCTCCATTCACTCCTATCTAACACGCTCACGCATGCTTGCTGGAAGTCCAAGCCCTTTGCCCACAAAACCTCTTTTACCCCCCCCCCCCTCCAACCTTTTCGAGGATGATCCCTACCCCGACTTCCTTCGT